AAGGAGGTTAGCATGAAAAAGACTTCATGTGCTGTGTGATAGAATGTTTAAGCATTTATACCTGTACACGTTCAGCTTTAGCCGTCAAACCAAGTAAAAGAAGTAAATAACCACCAAACTTATCCCACATGTAAACCCATTCAGTGTCAATTGCTTCTTCCAGAGCTAGTATTCTGGCATGAGCACACATTTCTCTTTTGTGACCTATATCAGTTATAGCTCCGTGCCGCAGGGTCTTATTTCTCAACCTAGACATAAGAGATCCAGCAGCTAATTCTTCATTTCTCAAACGATCTCTTAATTTCATGACATCAGCCCTAGGAAGTACAAAATTGCCTCCTTTATCTCGAATTACAGCAGGATCCCCAACCAAAAGAGCAGCTGAGCTGGCAGACCTCTGGGGAGCAGAGTAAGTTCCAGATAAAGCGTTTTTGGTCTGAATATGAAACATGGTTTTAGGTTAGGAACAGGCAGTAAATTTAAAAGATATCCCTATTTAAAAATCTGACACAATTTTATTTAGGGGTGTGCATTGGTGCAAGACCAGACCGGGACCAGACCGACGACCGGACTGAAAACCTTGACCAGACTTGACCGTACTGAAAACCTTGGCACCAGACTGGACCGGACCGGCTTTTTAAGTCCATACCTAAGACTGAACCTACTGACACAATAGAATATTATGATCAAGAAATCAAGAGAAATTGCTAATAAAGCAAATACCATGATTGGAAATACCTCGAGAGTCAAACAAGGGCGAGAGACAGCGAATCCAAAAGCTACGACAAGGGTAATTGCTGAAACAGCAGCTCCAGCGAAAGGGGGATAGATTTTCAAACTTGCAACTACACCCCATCCTTCAATAGCTAATGCAACGCCATAAAGCAAAAGAAATGCACCACTGAGGATAGAAAGTAGAACAATTTTTTAAGTACTTAAATATTCCAAGGAAAAATGATGATAAGAACATGAATTTTTTGGATAACATGATAAAAATTCATTAAAAAATGAGATAACTCCAACACTTCAGCATACAGTGAAGAGTTCAACAAAACCTGACGTTTTTCGCACAATCTGCATGTGCATCGTACACATACACAGGTAACCCCCTTGGGGAATAGACTACTATCGAAGGTAAAAGGAGCACCTAGAGAAGACAATAATTACTGAGTTATTAAAGCAAGAACACATGTCAAGAAGAAATAGGAAGAACATCTCACTGTGGGAGAGGGCCAACATAACAAGCCATTCCCAGCCCTAAATTATTATTTCAAGAATGATCAACTTACAGACAATGCCCTTCCAGCTAGTAGGAAAAGAAATGAGAAGTAACCAACGGATGCACCAACAAAAGCCTTGTCTGGAACAAACCAAAAATCCAATCAAGCACTACGAAGCATGCAAATTGATATTGGTCATTATCCGAGGAGTCCTATGGTGATCTGTGAATCATATCATCACGAGTGATATATAAATAAGAAAGTGATCTTACCTTGAAACCATCCAACAAGAAAGGCCGCCAAAGCCACAAGAAACGCTAGGAAACAAACAACTAGCATCTGAACCCTTGTCAGATAGAAATTATTTGAGGCCCAATAATGAATTGCACCGATAGCTAGAACTAGAAGGAGGAGAACTAAGAGAAATGTTGCTCCTATCTGTCATAATATGAAGTGAAACTCCTTAGAGATCATGGTTGTCAAGTCGTCGCCTAGGCCACGACTAGTCGCCGACTAGTCGTCCAGGCGGTTTTGCGATGGGGATTTGCTGTGCGACTAGCGACTATGGCCGACTAGGCTATTAAGCGCGCAAAGCGACGCTTAGCCGCGATTAGGCGACACCTAATCGGAGAAAGAAATCGGCAGAATTTGACCTAATCCAATTGACCCGACCCAACCCAACCCGACCCGACCCAAATTTCATTAATTTTTAATTTTTTTAAAAAAACGCTGCCTCCTTCGACGCAAACCATCCACAATCGAGTCACGCCTATAGTCTTCCAGTTCCAGCGTGACTTCCGCGACTTCAAGGCCTCCTGCAACTCTCCTCCATCAGCGATTCTCCTCCATCTGCCTTCATCAGCGACTCTCCTTCCATGGGTAAGATTTCTTTTACTTTGTTATCATTAAAGTATTTCTTTTAATTTTTCAGTTTAAGATTTCTTTTAATTTTTTTCTTCTTATAGTATTTTAGTATTTCAGTTTTTTTTCAGTTTAATATTTCAATTTTTTTGGTTTTGTACTAAAATACTAGAATAAGAAAAAATTATGAGAAATCTTAAACTATAAAGTGTAAGATTTAATTTTCATTGATTTGGTTCATGAAACTATAAAGTATAATATACTTTAAAATTTTCAGTTTTCTTTAATTTTTTTTAATATTTCAGTTTTTTTTCTGATTTCAGTTAATATTTTAATTTTTTTTCTTATTCTAGTATTTTAGTATTTCAGTTTTTTTTCAGTTTAATATCTCAGTTTTTTTTTTCAGTTTAATATTTCAATTTCATGTTGGGTTAATGCAGATATATATAATGTTAAAAATTTCAATACTAAGTGTGATTTGTCGACTAGTCGCCTAGTCCACTAGTCTCCCCGTCACCGACTCGACTCGACTCGACTTGTCGACTTAACAACCATGTTAGAGATAAACAATAATAAGAGATAAATTAACCAATAGTATTGACTTACCCTCCAAGGATGCACTGTAACTATGATGGCCGAAATGCACCAAGCAAAAGAAGAAGACCAATAATAATGAATATATAGGCATCTCGATAAAGCTTTCAGTTATCATCTTTCCTGATACTCCCTCCGTCCCCCTAAGATGTTCTCATTTTGACTTTTGGTGGTTTTTAAGAAGAGTTGAAAAAAGGTGAAAGTTTGCCATACTACCCTTAATGAAAATGGATGGAGTGTATTAAATGAGGTGGGTGAGGTGTAATAAATAAAGTAAGTGGGGTAGTTGTGGCATTTTAATTGTTAAAAAATGAAATGGGAAGATCTATTGCGCACAAAGAAAAAAGGGCTATTGAGAAGATCTATGAGGGACGGAGGGAGTAATATTTACAATAGAGTTACTCTAAATGAGGAGCAGCTCACATCTTACAATTCAAGTACAATGGTTTAGAAGTGTGAAATGAATCCGAATAAGCTTGTTAAAGATCAGTTGGTTCTCGGGGACGGAGGGAGTGGACATAAACTCGGGGACGGAGGGAGTAATTGATATGTCCACATATCAACTAATTGTCAACTAGTTGGTTCACTGGCAACATGATGAACTTACAATGAGAGAGTACTGATAGGAGAAGGTAATACAGAGAGTACATACTCATATTAAAGACCCCCATAAACTAGAACTATTGAAAAAATGATAACCTGGAGTGCTCGCCGAGATAACTGGCCTGCCCGTATGCGGCGTGCAATGCTTGAAACTCTATCACGAGCAAAAGAATCATCAAAAACTGAATCACCTCCAACTGCACGAACAGCAGCTGCTTCTCTGTTGCCAGCATTGGGAATAGATGATATAAGAGAAGCTTCTATCTCTTTCCATTTGGGTTCTTCTTTCTCCAGAAGAGCTCTCCTCCTCTCTTTACCCCTTCCTTCCTCTTCGCATCTCTGCATCAATATTTCTTCTTCCATCTCTTTCTCTCCTATATAACTACACATAGATTTACAAAATTAACAACTTATTTCACTGTGAGACCGAGAAGGGTAACAGAAGCAACATTAATAGCTTGAGATGTTCCTATATACCTCTCTTGTATAAGTTCAAATCGCCTATGTTCCTCTGGTAGCCACTTTTTGATATCCTTAGCACTGAGATCAGGCAATCCTATGCTGTCGAGGAAAAGTCTTAAACGAACCTCATCCTGTAAAAGAAGGAGGTTAGCATGAAAAAGACTTCATGTGCTGTGTGATAGAATGTTTAAGCATTTATACCTGTACACGTTCAGCTTTAGCCATCAAACCAAGTAAAAGAAGTAAATAACCACCAAACTTATCCCACATGTCATTCAGTGTCAATTGCTTCTTCCAGAGCTAGTATTCTGGCATGAGCACACATTTCTCTTTTGTGACCTATATCAGTTATAGCTTCGTGCAGCAGGGTCTTATTTCTCAACCTAGACATAAGAGATCCAGCAGCCAATTCTTCATTTCTCAAACGATCTCTTAATTTCATGACATCAGCCCTAGGAAGTACACAACTGCCTCCTTTATCTCGAATTACAGCAGGATCCCCAACCAAAAGAGCAGCTGAGCTGGCAGACCTCTGGGGAGCAGAGTAAGTTCCAGATAAAGCGTTTCTGGTCTGAATATGAAACATGGTTTTAGGTTAGGAACAGGCAGTAATTTTAAAAGATATCCCTATTTAAAAATCTGACACAATTTTATTTAGGGGTGTGCATTGGTGCAAGACCAGACCGGGACCAGACCGAAACTCCCATAGACCGACGACCGGACTGAAAACCTTGACCAGACTTGACCGTACTGAAAACCTTGGCACCAGACTGGACCGGACCGGCTTTTTAAGTCCATACCTAAGACTGAACCTACTGACACAATAGAATATTATGATCAAGAAATCAAGAGAAATTGCGAATAAAGCAAATACCATGATTGGAAATACCTCGAGAGTCAAACAAGGGCGAGAGACAGCGGATCCAAAAGCTACGACAAGGGTAATTGCTGAAACAGCAGCTCCAGCAAAAGGGGGATAGATTTTCAAACTTGCAACTACACCCCATCCTTCAATAGCTAATGCAACGCCATAAAGCAAAAGAAATGCACCACTGAGGATAGAAAGTAGAACAATTTGTCAAGTACTTAAATATTCCAAGGAAAAATGATGATAAGAACATGAATTTTTTGGATAACATGATAAAAATTCATTAAAAAATGAGAGA